TTTATACCATGTTTTATATCCCGCCATATTCAGTCTGTGCCGTCTGTTTATACCATGTTTTATATCCTGCCATATTCAGTCTGTGCCGTCTGTTTATACCATGTTTTATATCCTGCCATACTCAGTCTGTGCCGTCTGTTTATACCATGTTTTATATCCTGCCATATTCAGTCTGTGCCATCTGTTTATACCATATTTTATATCTCGCTATATTCAGTCTGTGCCGTCTGTTTATACCATGTTTTATATCCTGCCATATTCAGTCTGTGCCGTCTGTTATACAATGTTTTATATCTCGCTATATTCAGTCTGTGCCGTCTGTTTATACCATGTTTTATTTCCCGCCATATTCAGTCTGTGCCGTCTGTTATACCATGTTTTATATCCCGCCATATTCAGTCTGTGCCGTCTGTTTATACCATGTTTTATATCCCGCCATATTCAGTCTGTGCCGTCTGTTATACTATGTTTTATATCCCGCCATATTCAGTCTGTGCCGTCTGTTTATACCATGTTTTATATCCCGCCATATTCAGTCTGTGCCGTCTGTTTATACCATGTTTTATATCCCGCCATATTCAGTCTGTGCCGTCTGTTTACACCATGTTTTATATCCCGCCATATTCAGTCTGTGCCGTCTGTTATACCATGTTTTATATCCTGCCATACTCAGTCTGTGCCGTCTGTTATACCATGTTTTATTTCCCGCCATATTCAGTCTGTGCCGTCTGTTATACCATGTTTTATATCTTGCCATATTCAGTCTGTGTCGTCTGTTTATATCATGTTTTATATCCCGTTATATTCAGTCTGTGCCGTCTGTTTATACCATGTTTTATATCCTGCCATACTCAGTCTGTGCCGTCTGTTTATACCATGTTTTATATCCCGCCATATTCAGTCTGTGCCGTCTGTTATACCATGTTTTATATCCCGCCATATTCAGTCTGTGCCGTCTGTTTATACCATGTTTTATATCCCGCCATACTCAGTCTGTGCCGTCTGTTATACAATGTTTTATATCCTGCCATATTCAGTCTGTGCCGTCTGTTTATACCATGTTTTATATCCTGCCATACTCAGTCTGTGAAGTCTGTTTATACCATGTTTTATATCCTGCCATATTCAGTCTGTGCCATCTGTTTATACCATATTTTATATCTCGCTATATTCAGTCTGTGCCGTCTGTTTATACCATGTTTTATATCCTGCCATATTCAGTCTGTGCCGTCTGTTATACAATGTTTTATATCTCGCTATATTCAGTCTGTGCCGTCTGTTTATACCATGTTTTATTTCCCGCCATATTCAGTCTGTGCCGTCTGTTATACCATGTTTTATATCCCGCCATATTCAGTCTGTGCTGTCTGTTTATACCATGTTTTATTTCCCGCCATATTCAGTCTGTGCCGTCTGTTATACCATGTTTTATATCCCGCCATATTCAGTCTGTGCCGTCTGTTTATACCATGTTTTATATCCCCCCATATTCAGTCTGTGCCGTCTGTCATACCATGTTTTATATCTCGCTATATTCAGTCTGTGCCGTCTGTTTATACCATATTTTATATCCCCCCATATTCAGTCTGTGCCGTCTGTTTATACCATGTTTTATATCCCCCCAGATTCAGTCTGTGCCGTCTGTTTATACCATGTTTTATATCCTGCCATATTCAGTCTGTGCCGTCTGTTTATATCATGTTTTATATCCCGCCATATTCAGTCTGTGCCGTCTGTTTATATCATGTTTTATATCTCGCTATACTCAGTCTGTGCCGTCTGTTTATACCATGTTTTATATCTCGCTATATTCAGTCTGTGCCATCTCTTTATACCATGTTTTATATCTCGCTATATTCAGTCTGTGCCGTCTGTTTATACCATGTTTTATATCTCGCTATATTCAGTCTGTGCCATCTGTTTATACCATATTTTATATCTCGCTATATTCAGTCTGTGCCGTCTGTTTATACCATGTTTTATATCCCGCCATATTCAGTCTGTGCCGTCTGTTTATACCATGTTTTATATCCTGCCAGATTCAGTCTGTGCCGTCTGTTTATACCATGTTTTATATCCTGCCAGATTCAGTCTGTGCCGTCTGTTTATACCATGTTTTATATCCCGCCATACTCAGTCTGTGCCGTCTGTTATACAATGTTTTATATCCTGCCATATTCAGTCTGTGCCGTCTGTTTATACCATGTTTTATATCCTGCCATACTCAGTCTGTGCCGTCTGTTTATACCATGTTTTATATCCTGCCATATTCAGTCTGTGCCATCTGTTTATACCATATTTTATATCTCGCTATATTCAGTCTGTGCCGTCTGTTTATACCATGTTTTATATCCTGCCATATTCAGTCTGTGCCGTCTGTTATACAATGTTTTATATCTCGCTATATTCAGTCTGTGCCGTCTGTTTATACCATATTTTATATCCCGCCATATTCAGTCTGTGCTGTCTGTTTATACCATGTTTTATTTCCCGCCATATTCAGTCTGTGCCGTCTGTTATACCATGTTTTATATCCCGCCATATTCAGTCTGTGCCGTCTGTTTATACCATGTTTTATATCCCCCCATATTCAGTCTGTGCCGTCTGTCATACCATGTTTTATATCTCGCTATATTCAGTCTGTGCCGTCTGTTTATACCATATTTTATATCCCCCCATATTCAGTCTGTGCCGTCTGTTTATACCATGTTTTATATCCCCCCAGATTCAGTCTGTGCCGTCTGTTTATACCATGTTTTATATCCTGCCATATTCAGTCTGTGCCGTCTGTTTATATCATGTTTTATATCCCGCCATATTCAGTCTGTGCCGTCTGTTTATATCATGTTTTATATCTCGCTATACTCAGTCTGTGCCGTCTGTTTATACCATGTTTTATATCTCGCTATATTCAGTCTGTGCCGTCTGTTTATACCATGTTTTATATCTCGCTATATTCAGTCTGTGCCATCTGTTTATACCATATTTTATATCTCGCCATATTCAGTCTGTGCCGTCTGTTTATACCATGTTTTATATCCTGCCAGATTCAGTCTGTGCCGTCTGTTTATACCATGTTTTATATCCTGCCATACTCAGTCTGTGCCGTCTGTTTATACCATGTTTTATATCCCCCCATATTCAGTCTGTGCCGTCTGTTTATACCATATTTTATATCTCGCTTTATTCAGTCTGTGCCGTCTGTTTATACCATGTTTTATATCCTGCCATACTCAGTCTGTGCCGTCTGTTTATACCATGTTTTATATCCCCCCATATTCAGTCTGTGCCGTCTGTTTATACCATATTTTATATCTCGCTTTATTCAGTCTGTGCCGTCTGTTTATACCATGTTTTATATCCTGCCATACTCAGTCTGTGCCGTCTGTTTATACTATGTTTTATATCCCCCCATATTCAGTCTGTGCCGTCTGTTTATACCATATTTGATATCTCGCTTTATTCAGCCTGTGCCGTCTGTTTATACCATGTTTTATATCCCGCCAGATTCAGTCTGTGCCGTCTGTTTATACCATGTTTTATATCCTGCCATACTCAGTCTGTGCCGTCTGTTTATACCATGTTTTATATCCCGCCATATTCAGTCTGTGCCGTCTGTTTATACCATGTTTTATATATCGCTATATTCAGTCTCTGCCGTCTGTTTATACCATGTTTTATATCCCCCCATATTCAGTCTGTGCCGTCTGTTTATACCATATTTTATATCCCCCCATATTCAGTCTGTGCCGTCTGTTTATACCATGTTTTATATCTCGCTATATTCAGTCTCTGCCGTCTGTTTATACCATGTTTTATATCCTGCCAGATTCAGTCTGGTCAGTTTAACCAGACATGTTTCTCAGAGAACCCCTACATTAAGCATTAGGTACACTCTCTTCAGTTCCTATTTGAGGTAAATGGTATTCATATATCCTCACAATGGCCTCAATATGTCCATCCAATGCCAAACCTGCCGAACCTTACCTACCTGAGCATCCGGGGCCAGGGTACCCCACAGGGCAGTCACAAGTGTCTGGTGCCACACACACCCCGTAGTTCAGGCACGGAGGGTGACATACAGCTGGAAACAGGAGTTATGAGAGAAAAAAATTAACCTGAAGTAGACCATACGTACAATACTTTATACCACCACTATAAAACAGAAGAAAGGGATCAGCGCTCTCTATCTATACAAAATACAACAGAAACAATAATAAATAAGTAAAAAGTGGCAGCACACCTAAAAAGTAGGGCTCCCTCACAGGCCTTACAACAGAAATGGTACAGAAAAAAGAAAGGAAGGCAGCGCCACTACAAACCACATAAATTAAAAGAGCACAGAATAGGCAGACTAGAATGCAATATATATAATAGATAATAAGCAAATAGAAGTCCAGAATAAATAGTCTGACTGGTAGATGAATCAAACAACGAGGTATATCTTTGTAGAGGTGAATACAGTCTTTTGTAGTGGGGGATTCTTCAGAGTGGTGTAGATGCGTCTTTGTACATCATATGAAATGAGAAAATAACAACTGATGGTATAGTATGTCCCGAAGGGGGTAGAAGCAATAAAAGAGTATATGGTCCTACTCACGTTTTCAAGAGCTATGGACTTAGCTCTAGTGTTGATAACGTACAGTGGTATAATCCCCACTTATGGGATACGTGAGGTCTTAGTATTCTTTCTTGATTAGGGAACCATATGTGGAAATAAAAGCAGGAACAACAATGGTGCTCAAAGTATAAAATGCCAGAGGTGAGAAGATAAAAACCAAGTGGTTACTCACATTTAGTTGAACAGACTGACTGTTCAATGAATACAGCTTGAGTGGTATAATCCCCACCTAGGATTCTTGGGAGTAATATCCTCACTGGAAAGTAAAAACACTTCTGTGCCGGATAAAAGGATGGTAGTAATAAAAAAGTAAAATAATAATAGTAATAAAAAGTAAGATGGCTAACTCACAGTAAGAAAGTGGCCAAAATACCTTTATTTAAAACAATATAGTTTAAAAAAACCACAACGCATTTCGCCCTTAGGCTTTATCAAGTGGAGATCACTTGATAAAGCCTAAGGGCGAAACGCGTTGTGGTTTTTAGCCATCTTACTTTTTATTACTATTATTATTTTACTTTTTTATTACTACCATCCTTTTATCCGGCACAGAAGTGTTTTTACTTTCCAGTGAGGATATTACTCCCAAGAATCCTAGGTGGGGATTATACCACTCAAGCTGTATTCATTGAACAGTCAGTCTGTTCAACTAAATGTGAGTAACCACTTGGTTTTTTATCTTCTCACCTCTGGCATTTTATACTTTGAGCACCATTGTTGTTCCTGCTTTTATTTCCACATATGGTCCCCTAATCAAGAAAGAATACTAAGACCTCACGTATCCCATAAGTGGGGATTATACCACTGTACGTTATCAACACTAGAGCTAAGTCCATAGCTCTTGAAAACGTGAGTAGGACCATATACTCTTTTATTGCTTCTACCCCTTTCGGGACATACTATACCATCAGTTGTTATTTTCTCATTTCATATGATGTACAAAGACGCATCTACACCACTCTGAAGAATCCCCCACTACAAAAGACTGTATTCACCTCTACAAGGATATACCTCGTTGTTTGATTCATCTACCAGTCAGACTATTTATTCTGGACTTCTATTTTGCTTAGTATCTATCATATATATTGTATTCTAGTCTGCCTATTCTGTGCTCTTTTAATTTATGTGGTTTATAGTGGCGCTGCCTTCCTTTCTTTTTTCTGTACCATTTCTGTTGTAAGGCCTGTGAGGGAGCCCTACTTTTTAGGTGTGCTGCCACTTTTTACTTATTTATTATTGTTTCTGTTGTATTTTGTATAGATAGAGAGCGCTGATCCCTTTCTTCTGAGCTATCTACTAAAAGGCTGAAAGACCTAAATTGGTCTTTCAGCCAAATTTACTAATACTAAGTAAAGATTACTTAGTATAAGTAAATTATGCCCCTACTCGCTATACCGCGAGTAGGGGCAGGTCTATTAAACAGTGAGCAGCCTGTGGCTGGTGGAGGCCCTAATGTAAAATAATGGGGGGAGGGACCTATTGTCCTCCCACCGGGCCCCCACCCCTGAGCGGCGGGTGGGGGCCCTAATCAGAATAAGGGGGGGACCTAATGTCCTCCCCCCTGGCCCCAACCCCAAAGCCTTGCCCCGCCCTGCAATTAGGCTCAGAGAACTCTGCTGGATTTCAAACCTAGCAGAAAGACGTTTGGCCTCTCCAATATATGATAGGTTTTTATGATCAGTAAGGATAGTCACAGGAAGGACTGTACCTTCCAATAAGTGACGCCATTCTTTTAGGGAAAAAATTATGGCAAGGAGTTCTCTGTCTCCAATGTCATATCGTCTTTCGGTAGCAGATAACTTCCTTGAATAGAACCCAGGATGTAGGGGTAGATCAGGACTTGGTCGTTGTGACAAGACTGCTCCTATACCTGTCTCGGAAGCATCTACCTCCAACAAAAAGGGAAGGCTAGGAACAGGATGTACTAAAACAGGAGCTGATGCAAAAGAGGTTTTAAGACCTCAAAAGCGTTTAAAGCAATAGCCTCCCATTTCTTTGGATTCGTTCCTTTTTTTTGTCATGTTAGTTATGGGAGTGACTATGGATGAAAAACCCTTTATAAATCGTCTATAATAGTTAGCAAAACCTATGAACCTCTGAATGGCCTTTAACCCATTAGGCAATGGCCATTAGAGTATGGAATCCAATTTTTTCGGATCCATCGAAAACTCTTTCTCGGATATCACATACCCTAGAAAGCTGACTTGATGTTGATCGAAAAGGCACTTTTCAAGTTTACAATACAGTCCGTTAAGTAACAATCTAGACAAGACATTTTTAACTTGTCTATGATGGGTTTCCCTGTCTTTAGAATATATCAATATATCATCCAGATAGACTATGACACAGTCTTGAAGAAAATCTCTTAACACGTCATTGATGAAGTTTTGGAAAACAGCCGGGGCATTACACAACCCAAAAGGCATAACAGTATATTCATAATGCCCAAAATGGGTGTTGAATGCTGTTTTCTATTCATCTCCTTTTTGTATTCTCACAAGATTATACGCTCCCCTAAGATCTATCTTGTTAAATATTTTGGCCTTCTTGAGCCTATCAAAAAATTCAGTGATTAGAGGTATAGGGTAAGCATTATGTATTGTAATTTTGTTCAATCCCCTATAATCAATACAAGGTCTGAGGTCACCCTCTTTTTTGGATACAAAGAAAAACCCAGCTCCCGCCGGAGAGGAAGACCTTCTTATAAAACCTTTTCTTAAGTGTTCTGTAATATACTCCTCTAAAACAGCATTTTCTTTGGCAGAAAGAGGGTAAACAGTACCTTTAGGAGGCATGGTACCAGTTAGAAGATTGGTTGCACAGTCATAGGATCAGTGTGGAGGCAATAATTCTGCTTTTCCTTTATCAAACACTGCCTTTAAGTCTATATAGGGTTTGGGTACTTCAGTGGATAAAGGAGGCATAGTAGGTATGTTTATAAGACCAGTAGTGCGTACTTTCAGAATACAACCCTGTTGGCAACTTGCACTCCAGGACACAATATCACCCTTTTCCCAATCTATGATAGGGTTCTGTTTAATCAATCAGGGGAATCCTAAAACTACCTGAAAAGACAGAGAGGAGATAAGTTGAAATACACCTATCTCATAGTGTAATATGCCTGTAATCAACTGCAAGGGAACAGTTTCACATGAAATCACAGGCGCTGACAGTGGTCTACCATCTATGGCCTCAACGGCCAAGGGTGTATTCCTTAACCGGGAAGGAATTGATTGTGAAGCAGCAAAGTCTAGATCAATAAAACATCCTACTGCCCCTGAATCTATCAATGCCATAGGCTGTACTCTATTCTTTTCCCAGATTAAGGTTAACCATAAGATATTTTATTTAAGTTATAATTGATTTGATAAGATTAACTTAATACATTAGTGATAGTACAAGAAAAGTCACACACATTTGATGAGGTATTCCTTTATTAGGTATTTATAATTAAATAGGATATTTGTTATATGCCACATGTAGCATTACTCTTAGTTCAGGCCCGGTAATTCTCTCGATCTCGGGTAGACACGAATATATCCGCAATTCTCCCCCCCCCCTTTTGAAGCTAGTATTTGAGACCTTATAAATTTATCATCAATTAAGAGACATACCCTCATTATGTATATTGGCATATGTGAGTGTTGACAACACTTATGTATAAAAGGGGTTAATGGTCCAGTTTAGTTGATATGCAGTTTTACGGACTAGATCTCACTAGTGAGAATGAAAGGATATGAATGAGTTAAGCTGACGAACCCACTGATAGGGAGCTTAGGATACTGGCTCTGATTGGCGGGTTTAAATTTAATTTATGCAAGTTCCTACCCACTTATTTTTAGCCCCTGACGAAGGTGCATGTCTTAAGCACCGAAACGCGCGTCGGGTCCCCCTGTCACTCTTTCACTATTTTTCCGCACTGTGCACTTTACACTTAGGGCAGGTAACTAACATTCTAAGTATGGTTCTGCCCGTTCTACCCAATTAGTGCATCATTCACTCACTCTTTCTATTTCCTCTCTTATAATCTTTGATTCTGTCTCTAGATAACTTAGTATGGTTGATACAATAGTAGTTTACATTGCTTTCCTATCGGTTGTAGCAATCTCTTTAAATTGATACGCTTTATGGATGGTCAAATTTTGTTACATATGATTTGACACACATAAGCAACATAGTTAACATTATAGAGTCTACACTGATAGGGAGACCCAATGGTCCTGATGTTTTCTCTTTGGGTACATTTTAGGCTACCAACTTTTTAGCTGCCTTATGTTCTAATCCCTATGGTCACCTTTAAGTAACTGGGACATTTTTTGTAATTGTTTCCACTGAGTATTACATCATTTTGCAGACTGTGACATAGTTAATTATGAATAAAGTCAGAGAGTCTTGCTAGCTTATTAATTCCAGTGGATCTAAGAGAGGTTTAGCCGAAAGGCTTAGTTTGTGTGTTAATTCACAATTGTTTGTAAATTATTAGGGTCTGGATCTTATTGACCTTTCTTTATTTTATTTTATTTTTTCCAGCTATATGCCATTGATTATCTATTTATTTATCTATTCCAGTGAAAGGCTTTTGTCACTGAGGTTAACTTCATTGAATAGAGGTTTTTATTTGATTCAACGGGGATTAGAAGCCTGTGATCTTGCTGTTTTCTGAAGGATGACAAGGAGAAAACACCCAAGGCCTGTCCTCCACTGGAACTTAGGTGCGGGAGTTTTCCGGCCTGTTTGGGCAACGCAGGCGGAGGTGTCCTCTTTGTCCGCAATACATGCATAAACCTTCCCTCCTTCTGTACTGTCTTTCAGCTTCGGATAACCTAGTAACCCCCAAGTGCATAGGTTTGGGTAAAGCCAAAGCCATTGAATCAGGGGGATTAAAGGCAGGAGCTAAATGGATAGACGTTCTCCTAGGACGGTCTTGGGTATTCTGTCTGAACCGCATACGTTCATCAATACGAGATATAAAAGATATCAAATCTTCTAAATTCTCTGGGAGTTCCCTGGTAGCTATCTTGTCCAATATAATATCAGACAGACCATTGAGAAACACATCTACAAACGCTTGGTTATTCCAAGCTATTTCAGCAGCTAAGGATCTGAAGTCTAAGGCATAATCGACCAATGATCTAGTACTCTGTTTCAGACATAGTAATGTTCTGGCAGCATTAGCCTTCCTACCCGGAGGGTCAAAAGTACGTCTGAATGCAGCCACAAAAGCAACATAATTGTAAACCAAAGGGTTTTCGTTTTCCCAGAGTGGATTGGCCCATGTCAACGCTTTATCAACTAATAGGGTTATGATAAAACCAACCTTAGTTCTGTCAGTAGGATAAGAACAAGGTTGTAATTCGAAATGGATGCTAACCTGGTTCAGAAAACCCCGAAATGCATCAGGTGCACCACCATAACGTAGTAGTGACGTGACATGTGAGGAGGCTCCAACAGTAGCAACCTCTAAACCCGAGGGTACCGGAGCCGATTTA